AAATATAGTCATCTTCATAGACGAAATTATTGGACCTAAAAATGTAATATTCCTAGAGACCATTGACGATTTAGATGATAAATAAACATATTTAAGTCAGGCTGGCAGGTGTCAAATGAACAGTTTTCAATTACGCATCCTGACTTGTACGATTATAAATACCAGCGTTATATACGGGGGCACAAAGACTTAAAAGCTGTGAATGAAATAGGGGGACTAAAAAGCAAGCCAGTAAAAGCCGCACTTGAAACTCGAACAAGCCATGTCGATCCTTGACAACCCTTCACGACTATGCACGACTATGCACGACTATGCAGATTGAAAATTCGCGAATGCAAATGCAGACACGGCAAACCTACTGCGCATAGCGGCAAAGCATACGCTTAGAGGTCAAGAATGTGGGTGCTGGATGTCTTCGAGGCTATGCACGTCTCGGAAGAACTGTCCTCTATTCAAGAAGGTGGCAGCACTCCTCACCCAGTCTAGCTTATTTCGAACTCGGCGCCTTATTTTGAACTCAGTATGATCTGTTCAGCTGGTAAAGAATGCGCTTTGGGATCAATTATTTGGGCACTGCATGTCTTCGAGGCCATACCCGTCTCGGAAGAACTGTTTGTTTTGCAAGAAGATGGCAGCACTCATCAGGCAGTATTGCCTATTTTGAGCTTGGCGCGTTATTTTGGATTCTGTGTGATCTGATCAGCAGGTAAAGCATGCGCTTCGAGATTAGCTGTTTGGGTGTTGGAAGTCTTTGAGGCTGAACCCGTTTCGGAAGAACTGTCCTACTTTGCAAGAAGATGGCAGCACTCCTGAAAAAAGTCTCGCTTATTTCGAACTCGGCATGTCTATTGAACTCGTTGCGATCTGTTCAGCCGGTAAAGCATGCGCTTCGAGGTCAATAAGTGACAGAGAAATTAAAAACGTCCGTTGGCGAGTCGCCCAGCTACAGCGCTGTAGTAGAGTGTACAGAGTGTGAAAAAGGTAAGGAATTCTTCAAAACCATATTGAATGTGCTTATCGCGACAACAGGCGGAATACAACGTCACGAGTGACGCCTGGCGTCTATAGTGAAGATATTAAAGTCATTGCCTGCACAGCAGACGACACTGAGTTCAAAATAATGCACCAAATTCAACATAAGAGAGAGAATAAGACGTTCATTGTGATTATCTGCGCGAGTAGACAGGTGAGTGGGCCGCTAGCACGGGCCGCTATCCTCGTACGTTTCACGAGGACTTCTTGGCTCTTCGGTTCCGAACTCGACAGAGCTGCCTTCCGCCCTTCGAAGCTGTGTTGTGTCATGGGTTACAAAGGGAGATTGTGTGGACACTCCCGTACCATGTGGTACAGAAAGTTGTTTTATTGGCGCAGAACCTGCACTGCGGTGTGTGTGTGTGTGTGTGTGTGTGTATGCCGGAATCTATCTTTGACAGTATGTGCGGATTGGGGTAGGAACAGGGTCTGTAGGCGACACCATGGTACCTGTGATTCTTTACTAGAACTATGGCCTAGGGAGGGAAGTTTCTGTCATTTAAGTCTTTGATGTTGCAGAATTTCTGTATATGTGAGAAGCAGGCCCATAGGCACAGCTAATGGTGGACGCGATATGGGCAGAGTCGGAGGTCCGGAAGAGGAATTCTCGGGCCGGAGAATGGGCAAGTTCATTGCTTCTGATGCCGCAGTGACCAGGTATCCACATCAGCTGTTTCCAGTCTCTTTCTGAACGTGGGTCCGATAGCTGGGTAAGGATTCAGTGCGCAAAGGGACCAACGTAGTCTTTACAAAAATTTCGGTGGGCTGCTTGCGAATCTGTGAGAATGAAAAGGGACTCTGAGTTTCGTAGGGCGAGGACGATTCTTGCTCTTTCTATGCTAGTTGTGTTTGTGTCCAGTGCTGATATGCAGTCGATATGTTTTCTTTGATGAATGACGATTGCCGTGTATCTGCCGTTCATGGGTTCAGCTGCATCGACAAAGAAATCGCCTTCAGTGTCTGAGTACTTGTAGTTACTTCTGGCCCATGCCCGACATCGATGTTCGTGAAACTGTGGATGCAATTGCGTGGTAGTGGTTTCACGATAAAGTCCTGCCTTCATTCATGTTGGATACATTGTTTCCCCTTTCTGTGAATGGGGGCTTCGATGCCAAGCTCTGATTATGTTTTCCGCTCTGTTTTAGTGACTGCGAGGCGCATGACTCGATTCGTGTGGTGGGTTTGGAATAATTCAGATGTGGTATTGTGGAGCCCCATTTGAAGCAGACGGTCCGTGAGTGTCCATGAAGGAAGGTCTAGAGCCTTCTAAAGAGTCACACGTATAAGTCTGTCTAGTTCGTGCTCGTCTGCTTTCAAGACCCCAAGGTAAGAAAAGCTATAGGTTATGCGACTGATGACAAATGCCTAAGTGAGTCGCGTTATGTCATGTTTTTTCATCCCTCGTCGTTGGTTAGCCACACGACTAATCATACGAGAAATCTGTAAACAGGATATTCTTAGTTCTTCAGAAGAGTTTGAACTAACACGCCAAGTTCAAAATAGTTAAGTCTACCTGAGCGGTGCTGTCATCTTCTCGCAGAGTGGAATGGTTCTGCTGAAACCTTTATGGCCTCGAAGACTTCCAGCGCCCAGATAGTTAATCTCGAAATGGATGCTTTATCGAGTGACGAGATCGCATCGAATTTAAAATAACGCGTCGAGTTCAAAATAAGCCATTCCGCCTCAGGGGTGCTGCCATCTTCTTTAGAAAGAGAACAGTTCTTCCGAGACGTGCATGGCCTCGGTGACTTCCATCACCCAAATGGTTAATCTCGGAGCGCATGCTTTACGGGCTGAGCAGATCGCACCGAGTTCACATGGACGCGCCGAGTTCAAAATAAGCAAGTTTGCCTGAGAGGTGCTGCCATCTTTTCGCAAAGTAGAACAGTTCTTCCGAGACGTGCACGGCCTTGGTGACTTCCAGCAGCCAAATGGTTAATCTCGGAGCGCATGCTTTACCGGCTGAGCAGATCGCACCGAGTTCAAATGAACGCACAGAGTTCAAAATACGCAAGTTTGCCCGAGAGGTGCTGCCATCTTCTCGCAAAGTAGAACAGTTCTTCCGAGACGTGCGTGGGCTCGGTGACTTCCAACACCCAAATGGTCAATCTCGAAGCGCATGCTTTACCGGCGGAGCAGATCGCACCAAGGTCAAATAAACGCGCCAAGTTCAAAATAAGCAAGTTTGCCCGAGAGGTGCTGCCATCTTCTCGCAATGTAGAACGGTTCTTCTGAGACGTGTATGGCCTCGAAGACATCAAGAACTCAGGTAAAAGCGCATCCTTAACAACTTTGCCTGGTAGGCTTGCAGTGTCTGCGTTTCAATCACGAATTTAGTATCCGCGTGGTTGTAAATAATGTCAGGCAAGGATTTGGCTTGTTCAAAGTTCAAGGCCCTACTTTTACTGCCTTGCTTGTGTTGTCCCGCGTTTTCATTCACTGTGGTTTAGTCTTCGTACACACGTAAATACCGCTGCTGTTTATGGCTGGACGAGAAGTCACGGTGCGTCCTCAAAAACTTGTCGTTTGACACAAGTGAGCCTATAATAATAATGGTTGATTTCTCGACGTAATTGTCGGCAGTATTCAGAGACAAATCATTCTCTAAGCAGCCTAAATGGCTCCCTGAAGATCCCGAGGCATCCTGCAAGGGACATACACAGTAAAACTGGGCATTGGAGGGCATGGTTTGAACATACGCGAGAAATAGCGCTGAATCCGTACGCAGTATATGAAGCCAGTGTTTTCTTGAGTTACGCGAGATGGAATCCTAAATATTTTCAGCTGCCTTTCCTCCGTAAAAAAATCACAGCTAGCACATCCACAGAGCAAATGATGATGAGTGGGGTGAAGCATTCGTCAGTCCGTCCGCGCTTCCGTTGGTCCGTTCGTTCTTGCTACTGCCCGACCATCTGTGCGTTTGTCTGTGCGACCATTCGCCCGTCCCTGCGCACGTTAATGCGTCCATCCGTTTATCCGCGCGTCCATACGTCCGTCCGTGCATCCATATCCATGCATCCGTCCATCCACTCGTCCATCCATCTGCCCATGCTTCTGTCGGTCTATCTGTGCGTGCATCTGTTCATCCGCCCATCTGTCTAGTGAACACTCCAAGTACCACCATATTGCATTTATTCATCATATATTCAGAAATTGTGAAAATAGAGATGAGAAGGAGCTACCTTATAAGTGACATTAAGTCATCGCGTAAAGAAGTAAAAAATTACAAGAACACGAGATGTTTTTAATACAAAATTGAGTTCTCTGTTGAAATGTTTGAAGTATAATAAGTTCTTCATTCAAAAGAAAAATGTGGAAAGAGCGAAGAACAAGCACACGGAGAGCTCTTAACGGTGACAAGCGTTTCCTTCCAGAGGAAGTTGGTGCGCTGCACAGGACCATAGATATGCCACCAATACTGACGGAAGTATAGTATAGGGCATTGTCCTTTTAAAATAAAAGCCGCCAATATTGTCAGCTAAAGAGTTATGGGATTATCCTTCTCGATAAACGTTGATGAATGTTGATGAACTTCCGGCACACGTGGAAACATCTTTTACTGTTTTCTTTTTCACTGAGTCTGAGGTCGCATTATTTGAAAACTAGATTTAGCATTTCCGTTTCGCTATTAATGAAAACACATTTCTGTGTATTTGCATACATGTGAGCGAATCGGCTGTAAAATTCACCGGGAGGAAAAACGACTTTCGATACATAGCCTTGTAGAAAAAATTATAAACTTCGGGTTACAGGCATTTGCAATGCAAGAGGAAGTGCGTCACAGTTTAAAAAAAATGTTCAAGCTTTATCGAAAAGTTCACTGGACTATGTGGCCTTACTGAGTGTAAAATCGCAGTTGACCAATGGCTGCACTCGAAGAAGACGATTGGTTCAGTCTGGTTTCTGAGTGAAGGTAGGGTGACCATATCTCAAATAAATACAGCTCACAAACTAGAAATGAAGCCCGAAGCAATCAGTGAGATTTTTTCGGTATCTCTGAACACGTCAGCTGCCGTAGAGGTGGATAACTTACTTTTAAAGAAACTCGCGGTGAAGAAACATGCTAAATCTAGCGATCTTTCTTGTGCTTGGAGCATCTGCAGCCCTGTCAGAAGCACTGACGTCGAATATTTCTTATGTACGTATAACATCACTTTAATCCATGAACACTTGTACTAAACAGTTTCTCAGCTGTCAAGTTGCCGTTCCTAAATATTTTTGAGCGCCCCCTGTAGTGTTTTGGGCAAATTTGCGTTGAAGGTTCTAATTTTATTGCAAGACAGAGCACAAACGCAACGAAAATGTTTTGGCCCGATTAGAGTCTACAGAATGATCTAAAACATGTGTTAGGCTAGATCAGCTGGTTTAACAGGAACCTCATTTTTCGTAATATGCATGAAATAATCAGATGACTTTTCTAAGAGGACTAAACATAATTTGTATGTCGCTGTAAATATAGCATTTGCTTTTTGTTGGGCATATATATTCAATGAAATATTTTAGAAAGTTCACCCGTAAACACTTTTTCTTCGCGCGGTATGTTTTCTATTCACGTACAATGTGGTTACGTAATTTGCCGCCTTAATATGCTTTGCAGTGACAAATTTAGAGCGCTATCTAAAAGGTCACAGCCGGAAACAAATAAAGGAAAGCAGAAGAAGACAACTAGCCACGAAGTGTGGAAGAATAAAAAAAAAACAGAAAGAGCAGCGCTTGAAGCGATATTCCTCACGTGTTTCACATCGGTAGGACCAGGAAACTGAATGAACCTGGCGCTCTTAAAGTCAGCCTTGGACAAGGATGGCTTTACATTTATATAGCGACATATTGCGTAACTGAATTATAAGATGATGTTTACTACCTGCGAAGGTGGCCTAGAGGCTATGGTGCTCGTGTGCTGACCTAAAAGTCATGGGATTGGATGCCGGTTGCAGCGGCAGCATTTCGATAGAAAGAAAACCCTTGGGGCCAATTCACCTAGGTTTAGGTAGACGTTGAAGAACGCGAAGTGGCGAGAATTTTCGGAGAGCTACAGCATGCGACGTCTGTTATAATCCTATTGTAGTTTTGGGTGTAGCCTCATTATTTCTCAATGAACTTTCTCATTTTCATGATAGTCTTGCACGTACAGCTGAGCGCTACCGCTGGCTACACATGCGTTTGGCCAGCAATGAGTATTCATTTGATAGTATTCATTTATAGTATTAATTTTCGTATTCATATGATACTTTTTTTTTAGCCCTGTGTGCATGCGTTTACGCCCGTCACTGGTTTTCGTCAAGCACACACTGGCTAGCTTTCGATCTTGCTGCATATCTGAATAAGCACAATAAACACTGCAATGACTACACGCAAAGGTTATGTTTTCTGTTGATTAAGAAGTTTGAAAATACCTACTACTGTGTATTTACTTCGGATTCCAGAGCAAGCGCCCGTCATCATAATTGTATGAAAATCTCAAAAGATTCATGGTGAAACAAGTAAGCATCTGCTAGTGATGCAGTCGGGGCTCTGCCCATGGGACCGTAGCCAGCCAAAGTCTCGGAGAGACGTCGAGTAGAGTAGCGGGAGCTATTAGAAGAAACTCTTAATTAAATTTACATTTTGATTGTAACGTTGCTACATGATGAATGGTAACATCATGGAAGCTCTCGATGGAAGCTTGATGGGAGCGTCATGGAGCTTGTCGGAAGCTTCTCGGCTCTCGCGTTTTATGGCCTGGCCTTCTCAGGATTTCCTACAGGAAAAACAATAGAGGTCAGGACAGTCCAATAAAATTGCAATCTTCACCTTCGCCCCCAAAATGGGAAGGCAAAACACCGCCTCATTCCCAACCCAAGTAAGAGGAAAGGGGCATGCCCAATTCTTACCATGTGAGGGAGAAAGTACTGCACAATACTAAATGTGCACGACACAGCACAGTGCAAAGACGGTTGGTCCCACGTGCAAATGAACTCTTTAGTTCGTTGCAGTGATGAGGTACGTTGCCGGGCAGGTCAAGGTTTGTGGAAAACGGCGCCTTCAAGGCACCACGAAGACCGTGAAAAACGCACGCGAACGCGGATCTCAGACGCTTGGCCTATTCCTGGCGCACTCTGACAAACAAAGCCGCGCAGAGATGACAACCATTTCTAAACCAGTTTAACTGCAAACGACTATTTTTATGCCATCAGTCGGTAGGGTGTGTCTACAGGTTTATACGAGGAGAGATGACTGCGCTGCGAAATTTGAAGTGGTGACACAGAACAAATCAGGGTAGGCTCATGCCGCAACATGTCACGCGTCCAAACGGCGCCAAGCCAGGGAGGCTGATTATAACTTTAGAAAGCTCTCTAAGACTACTATCCTTTCTGACAGCATCATCTTGATCAGCGCCACAAAAAGAAATGATGAAAGTTTTCCTTTGTGGTTTCCTGGTATTCACTCAGACCTAAAAATTTTCAATATTACCTTTATTTGCATCAGTCTCAATTTAAAGGTCATTTACAACATGATCAGTTCTCGCTCCCAACAAATGACGCTGATGCCGAAGCCGAAATTTTTGAGAAACATGCTCCTTCAACGCTATACACCAGAACACAGCGAAGCTCAGTTCTTGCTGCCATATTGAAAAGCGCGTGGCGCCATCTGTTGCAAGCGCGGCGAAGCAACAATCTCAACTGCTACGCCAGCAGACGCTTCTGCAAATCAAACGCGAAATTTCACAACCCGAGTGCGGCTGTAATCATGTTTCGCGCTGTTTATGTGCTGGAATTTCATGCTGATTTCGTGTGAAATGTCGAGGAGGACCTTTCTCGACAGTCCGGAATGTCTGCAGCACGTGCATTGCAAACTGTGGAAGCAACTTCATTAGGTACGTATTATCCGACTGAAAGAAACGCGAACAGCGTTAACTGCGGCGTGCCTTGGCTGTGACAAGGCAAAAGTTGTGCTTTAAGCTGGCGTCAACGTAGCGCTAGGATCTGGCTCCAACTTATGCTCATGCACCACATGTGTTTATCAATTGTGCCGAGCACTCGGAACACACACGCGGTGCAAAAGTGCCAGCCAGAACAAGATTTTGAAATGCTACGGTGACGCCGGCAGAAAGCACATGTAGGTTCGCCTAGTGACAGTCGAGGCATGAGGCAGTTCGACGAATTCGAAAGCAATGCTTTTCGCGCCGTTCACACCCCTTTTCATCGCGATAGTAGGCCGTTACAGTCGTACTAAACATGAGCGGCGCGTGCATCCACGCGCGAGTCGTAATGCGTATATACTTTTATTGACATGCGGCCTGCGAAAGAGTATGGCAGTGGTTTTGTGCCGCATACTACAGGCATACTGCACGCAAATCGCTGCTGTAAAGGGGAACAGCTGAAGTCGTACTTGAATATACGCAATAAGTATACTTACTCGTACACTTCACTGGGCTCGTAGTTTTTCCTGCTTATCCGATTATATTGCCACGTTCCATTTCCCAAGTTTTTGTTATCGTCCCAAAACATCACACGATTCTCAGCGCAAACCGCGCCTGCAGTTTTCGAGAAGGTTCCGGACTGTAGTAGATCATTTCGGTAAGATCACGCCCACTGTGCGAACGGTACAGATTGTTCTGGAACCTACGCCACCGCCAGCGATAACGCTAGAACATTCGACGGCAAGAGTATAAATGCCGACGCGTTTCGCCGCTTGTCAGTTGTTGATCGAAGGCCGACGCTCCGTTCGCCGCTATCAGTCCGAGACTGCTATCTGTGCGAGACTGCTGCTGTAATTGGACTTTCCGTTTACCGGGCACAGGTTCGCCCAAATAAACAGTTAAATCCCAACACGAAGTTTCCTGTCTTCGGCCACGTCACGACCCCGTGACAACATCCTATAGGGCAGCTGAGCACAGCGTTTTTTTTTGTTGTGGACGGAAATCTGTGCAATCGCAAAACACCGCACCGGCATGATTCCCGCGATGCGCTGTGAACTTCACAGGCAGTGCTCAGCAATCTCTTCCTCTTGCGCTGGTTGTTGTCGCATCGGATGACAGCGCAGTGGTACCCAGATGACATTTTATAAGCGGGCGCAGCATGAACAGGCGCTTTTTCGCATTTTAATCTCCCAGAGCCACTGCTTGCCATGCCAGCGAGGCGCGCCTTGTCAGTTGTAAACAAATTAAGGCGTCTCTGGGAGAGAGGGTATACCACCAAAGGCGCCTGGGAGGGAGATGGGCGTGCTCTTCTCTATAGGGTAAAAACAAAACAAAACAAAAAACACGTCAGGCCTGTGCGGAAGGCGCGGCCGAGTCACATCAAAAGCAAGAGGACCAGCTTTTCAGAGCCTTTCTAAACACTCATTGGGTAAGTGTTGCAAGCACACATACTTAATGTCCCACTACCGCATTATTAATAAAAATTTTAAGGGTAGTAGGCCGGCATTCGCTATGCTATTTTTCATCATTCTGCTGCAGTAGCGTCGTATCCGCTAAACACTTGCAAGGAATTTTGTGCCAATTGTTCATGCAGTGGCTGACGACGATGAGGCATTATGGCCTGAAGTGGGCATGCGCCACAGTTAACAGGTGAACAAGAACAACCTTTTGTGATGGGTTGAAGCATTGGACTGGCCAACTCGTTACGCTATTCGCATTGTGCGACAACGGGCTGTTCTTCAGCTGTTTTAAAACGCTTTATAGGTCGTATAAACGCAATTGCTTTCCTGACATCAAGCCTGCCTAAGGCAAGTTTGCCAAGTAGTCACAAGCACAAACCAATATACATGTCACTCGTACAGTGCTTCAATACTGTCATGGTTCTCAAAAACATCTTGCAATGCTACAGGTAGACCTTGCAAAAGCTTTTGATCGTGTTCGTCATTCCTTCCTTTTTTCTCTTCTCGAACGAGCTAATGTTGGCAAAGTTGTTCTTAAAGGCGGTAAACTATGCTATAATGAATGCTCAACTCATCTGATAGTTAAAGGTCAACTCTCCAAGCTAGTTTCTATTCGCTCTTCTGTAAAACAGGGATGCCCGATGTCACCTCTTTTATTTGCACTTTATCTAGAACCACTGTGCTTAAACATAATACAGTCGAGTTGCATTCGTGGCTTCAGTATATAGGCAGTGAGGTTAAAGTATTGGCTTATGCAGACGATGTCGCATTCTTTTGCACAGATAAACCAAGTGTGGAAAATGTGGTATATACTATTGAAAAGTTTGGCGTAGTATAAGGAGCTCGTTTGAATGCCTCTAAAAGTTTAGGACTGTGGTTTGGCTTGTGCGGTAGCACACCGAACCACTTTGCAGGGAATAATTGGACAAGAACTCCTCCAACATACCTCGGTGCGCATATAGATGCAGTGCGCAATACTGGAAGGAACGCGTCCCTAAGCTTGAACGACAGGCCCAGAAATTTGTTCCTACGACTTTCGATATTTGGGAGAGATGAATCTTGCAATACTTTCTTAGCGACCAAGCTTTACTATGTATTGCAACTTATTCATTGCGCAAGATTCTATATACAACGCTTTCATCAGATTTTGGCTACTTTCATATGGTCTTCGACTTTTGAGCCCATGCGTCGGGATAATATATTCAAGCCAGTTAGTGAGGGTAGGTTAGGACTAAAACACCTTTATCTATGGCAAATAGTGTCCCGATTCTTCTTTTTTTGAGACAATTCCCATCCTGTAATCCGTTCCTACTTGCAGGTTACACTTGTTGATTGCTTACCAGATTTACTTGTTTCATCGAACTTCTCCGAACGCCCATGCTTGTGGGGATTCATGCAGGAAGTTTACCTCGTAGTTCAGTTCCTTAAAGCTCGTTTTTCTGTAGAATACCTGTACACAGTATCGCACAAGGTTGCTGTATAAGGACATACTGAGTACACTCTTCCCACCTTCATTGTACCGCCCACTCTACTCCAATCTTCCAGCCCACGATGTGTTGAAGCGAGTGCGCAAAATGTACATTCCACCGAATTCAAAAACATTCTACTATAAACTCCACTCTGAAACATTGGCGGTAAATACATGGTTAGAAAAAAAGGGTTTTTTCACTCCGTCTGTTAACTGCCGTCTATGTGATGTGCCGGAAACGACTGAATATTGCTTTGTTAGCTGCAAAGATGCCATACTGTTTTGGGATGTCCTTCAGTGAGCACTGAAAAAACGTTTCGTCATTAATTCTCACACAATATGTTATCTTCTACCAGCAGCGCTTGATGAAGTACCATATGCTATGTTTTTCCTCATGGGTATGCACAGCTTGTGGAAGACATGAATGCAAGACCGCAATGCAGAGCCCACCACCTCTTCAAGCGCACACTTCATTCAAATGGCTATCCACATAAAAAACATTTACGACAAGCTAGACTTTAGACCGGACTGGTATTCCATCTAAGGGAACTGTTTGACCTCACACCTCTTTTATTTGTATAACACGATGTGAAGAGCTCTCCATGTGAGGAACTCACGTTGTGTTAGCCATTTAGTGTTTATGAGTAACGCTTGAGCGCTTATTTTCGCGATTTGATTGTACTTTTGTTCGCTTTATTTTGTCTTTATTGCGCAAATACTTTATAAATTACCATGAACAAAATACACCGGTGTAGCTGAATTGTAGAATACTAGGCTGGCACCCAGTTGACCCGGGTTCGAACCCCACTGTGTCATTGGTACTAAGCTTTTTTTTTCTAATCTCGCGCGATGTTGTTATGGACCCCAGCGGTGGTGGCGGTGGCGGGCAACTACGGCACTCCGCGAGACCCGAGTTGTGATCTCAAAACTGCTTTCGCTGAAATATAAATTGCGAAAAATGTTAGGTGATACACCAATGTCCGGTTAGCGATGCTGGAAAACGAATATTATGGGCAGTAATAAAGGGAACAATTATGCCCCCAATTTCATCAGCACACATGAAACTCTTACGTATGGGACTACTTGGCGCGCACGAATTTGAGTGAAAAGCATATTTTAGTAAAAGAACAAGTAGAGACACTGCCAGTTGAAACGATATGCATAATATTCGGAGTCAGAAGCGGAATTTTCAACATATATAAACTTTATGGCTGTAATAAAGCTTTCTGCGAAGCAAGACGAGAGGTGCTGGCGAGACAGTATCTACAGTGTGGCAGTAAATTTGACAAACCACATAGCAGTTAATCATTCCTCTCGAAAATAAGCTGAATGTTATTCATTTACCAGGGTCAACGATTTTGTTTACCTTTACACCTGCATTAGCAAGAAAGCATCATGCGAAGCAAAATGCAACAATGCAGCGTTAAACTAGCGAATGCGGTTTTTAGGGGCGGAAGCTCCTCATGGCGTGGGTTGGTCGTCATCTGTATGTACGCATGTATGTAGCAACCACCTCACAGCATATTCATGGAGCGAATGATGATGAGTGGGGCGAAGCTTCGGAGGGTTTTATCGGCAAACCGCGAATTATCCGCTAACCGCGTCCATCCGTCGTCTGTCTGTCTGTCCTGTCTGTCTGTCTGTCTGTCTGTCTGTCTGTCTGTCTGTTTCACGCATGGGCGGACGAATGCATGGGCAAACGGACGGAAGTACAGACAGGTACTCGGATGGAGACGGACGCACGGATGGACGGACGGATGAATGAATAGACGCATGGGTGGACGGGTGGACGGACACATAGACGCACGGACGGACGAATGGGCGGACAAATGAATGCACGGACGAAAGCACGGATGGAAGCACGGACGGAAGCGCGGATGAACTAACGGACGCTTCGCCACACTCATCATCAAATCCGTGGATATGCTGTGTTTTTTTTGTTCAGTTTAACACCACCTCTCTTTATTCAGAATTTTAGTGGAAAAGCTAGAGTGACTGTGCCCACTCTTGTTATAATGAATCTATGTTCTTTACTAGACAAGAAGAATATTAATTACTCCAGAGATAATAACTATTGTTGGCATTTTGTGTCCAAAAACCACAAATTGCCCCGCCGCGGTGGTCTAGTGGCTAAGGTACTCGGCTGCTGACCCGCAGGTCGCGGGTTCAAATCCCGGCTGCGGCGGCTGCATTTCCGATGGAGGCGGAAATGTCGAGGCCCGTGTGCTCAGATTTGGGTGCACGTTAAAGAACCCCAGGTGGTCGAAATTTCCAGAGCCCTCCACTACGGCGTCTCTCATAATCATATGGTGGTTTTGGGACGTTAAACCCCACGAATCAATCAATAAATCAAACCACAAATTGAATGTCAGGATGCTCTGGGAGTTTTGAGCACGGAACACTTCTTCAGAAATGTGCACCTGAATCGAAGTACACAGGCCTATAACATTTGACTTCCTTAGAAATGAGCCTTCCACGCCCGTCGGCCTTGCAGTTCAGCAACATAGCCGCTAGGCAACTGTGGAGGGTCATATTATTCAAGGATGTATTTCACTGAAGTACGACTATCAAATTCTTACAGGCCTTGGAACCGAAAGGAAGGACCTACGTATATTCCACTCTGCATTCTGACAAGAATCATAGCTGTGCCTCTTACCGAAAGTACACAATTCAGTGTCCATACTATCATTGCTTCTATTACGTTCTATATACTTATGAAACTAACAGCGCAAAGTAAGTACATGCTTTTTTTTCGTGGTTGTGGTGTGCATAAACGACCCCAGAAACCATGAAATTCCTTGGCCTTCTGAAAACAAAGGGCTTAGTTCATATGCAATGCCACGTGGTTGCTGGTCAATTTGGCTAGCCATGGGTGCGAAACCCAGGTGCGTTTGGCTTGAGTGCAAGTAGTGCCGATTAAGGTGCTGCTGTTCCAAAATGAAAGCGTTATATGTGGTCGTACCTTGATAAACTGATTTAGTGCAGATCAGAGGTGTGCTCAATAGCTTGAGCGAATAGGTAGACTTTTATGCAAGGATGAGCCTGGCGTACTTGGCATACTGTTAATTAGCGACAATCCAACTTCGTATTATGAGCGTAGTGCTTATGCCGACAGTCATGTCAAGATGTTTTGACGGAGATGACTCCCATAGTTGGGCTTGTAAAGACAGATCGATTAGGTAAGCTCGTGCCCAGCAAAATGAACTTTCCTGGTCAAAAAAAGAAGTGCTCTGATTGTGTTATTGCGGGCGAGCATGGTTGACGGTCGTGGATAATCTTATCGTCAGCGAAGTATACATTAGTGACCTTCCCCTTAAACCCCGATTGTCAGCCATAGATATTTTGTCAGCCATAAATACCCACGCTTTTACTTGGCGAGGAAAGAAAACTTGTGCATAGCGGGCACTGCTATGAACATCACAACCATGTCTTGCTATCTTGCTCTGCAGGAAGAGTTTATGCAACGCTGCCATTTCCCTGGGCCCACTGCGCTCGCTCTTCTAAAAGCTGCCAGGGCATGCTCTTTGACGGGGCAAAACTGATGACACGCCGTTCACCGATAGAATCAAAAGCACCGTTTGCATCAGTTGTGCTTTTTACCTAGAGGCGCTGCCGCTTGCCGCCGCAGCGCTCCATTAGGCGCGAGGACATACCGTGGCGCCACCATGCGGAGGCGTCCCTGTGACGTACGTGGTTGGATTGCTCCGCCGACATCTCGCGCGCGGTCCACAGCCTATTTCGCGTCTCCTCCTTTCACAATTCTTTTCTCAATGTACTTCACTCAACGATATCTGTTAAATACTGCTGCAGTTTCCTTCTTGACTGTACGAAATGCTAAATAACAGCCCTGGAAAAGGCTTATACGCTTCTCATAATGCCTGACTGCCGGCGTCGTCCGCTATGGCCACCTGGACAAAAACCCCGGGGGCCGAGCGCATCGCCTCTCATTCCGTGTCGAATCGAACTATAAAATGTATACTAAAGGTAAAGAAACTTATCCTTGATGCAAGAATGCGCACAACCACGCTACTTAAGTCATTGTAGGTTTGCGTCTAAAGATGGTCCGTGGTTGACATGACAAGCATGCGCAAACTACAATTGTATCAGCACAAATAGCCCCACGAAGCCTAGCGCAAGCAGATTCCGCGCTTTGTGGGAAGCAGCATAGCATTCTTACAGCCCCATACAGCCGCAACCTTTCTGTTATTATTGCGAGCAATAGTGAGAATCACGCTCGCGCGTGCCTCATTCAGCCTTGTAACTTTTCTCTGCGGCATGATCCTAATATTTGGAAACTCGTGTGGTTGTGTACACACGGAGACGGGCAACCGGGGAGGGCGGTGGCGGTGGCACAGACTGCGGTAAAAGTTACCTTGACGAGAGGAGTAAGCTTTAGCAAAGAATAGAGCGGCACATGCATGATGTACGAAAGAATGTTCCGTCGAATGCGCTGGCCGAACACGCAGAAGCAACTTGGCACAAAATAGACCAAAACAGGGTGAGAAATAGCAAAAATAAAAATAAAAATTGAAATTCCAAGCTATCTTGACTCTCTGACAGTTCAAACAACGACGAAGATTTGTTCAAATGTAATAACGGTAACTTCCCCCTCATGTACTCTCCTACGTCCTATCTTAAAATACACGTAATAGAACCGTTTTCACATTCATTTTTCGTTTTGACCAAGGATACCATGTGGAAACTGAAACAACCTGCTTTAATGTGAACATTCACGGTCTGTGCTCATTTTAACCCCATTGCTTCGAAATAACAACCACAACAAAAAAAGAGAGAGGTGACAGTGGCAGTGCCAGTGGCCGTGACAATGGCGTCGCATATGCAGCGAACTGTGGCACACCACTGATAACCTTTACTGCGACTTTTCACATCGTGTAGTCTGCAGAAGTCCGCGCACATCAAATCAGAGCAACACAACGTTGTCAAAAGTCAAAAGAGCAACAAACGCTGATGTTGAGGTTGCTCAATGGTTACCTGCAAACGTGGCCCATGACCTCTTTTTGCCATTGGCCTTTGTTCTTTCCTTGTCTCTATACCGTTTGTTGCTCAAACAGTACTTTTAGAAGCTGGTGGTCTGTCCATGCAGCATTTGCTTCTAAACCAAGAAATTAAGGAAACCACAGAGGCACAGCAGTAAAGAAAAGGTGTTTCGTTCACCAAGGCACTACAGCTTACGTCATGCCACTTCTTTAATTGACCGCTGTCAGAATTTATTGTTCAGAGTTCGCCGCCCTGAGGATGGACGCCTTAACTTTGTTCTACCGTCTGCCTCGACGAGATGCATTTTTGCGAAGACACCATCTCCTTCTTGCTAGCATATTAACTCCTCACTTCCTAATCTGTAAGGACGCTGAGCCATGATTCCATCACGAGAGGCAGAAAATGGCTGCCTTTACATTTGTTCGTATTTCTTGAACCTCTGTCAATCATTACTCTCCTCTTTAGGACACTGAACTAGCGCCTCCTGCTAAGCTTGCAGAAAGGGTCTTTGCTCCCGTGAGCTTTATTTCGCTCATGTTCTTTCCTCGCAAGTTTTCGCAGGCGAATAAATGGCAATAAAGAATTCATACTATGGAGCTCCCTCTAATGGCGTTTATTGTCTCTCACGTGTGGTGAACAGACATAATAAGCACTTCGTGTAATTGCACCGTTGAAACCTGGAGTACACACCTTTGGAGCGCGGAGCTGCTGCTAGTGGTGCAGCGGTGTATCGCAGAGTATCACTGTGTCCACTTCAGCCATATAGTGATACTACTTCGTGAAGACCGCACACGTCGATTGTGATTGTTTTCTTACGACAATGTTGCAGCCACAATGGCCAACCAAAAAATGGTTTCAGAGGCTGTTGAAATCTCTCGTGACGTGCAAAGAATAAACACATGCGTGCAAGAAGTGGGTTTTTGATGATACGAGCATAACACGTGAAGCCACCTGCAGCAATGTCGCAGCACAAAAGCTGTTTTATATAATTCGCAGCCGAATTTTAAGTTCTGGCATTGGTAACAAAGATTAATAACGTTAGATCAGTGCAACGTCGTGATGTAGGTTGGACAAATTTTGCATTTAGAAGCGCATATATTTTGACGAGCTTGTGTTTATTCTTAAAGTATCTTGTTTGCTACGTGCTTCTAAATACGATTATTAAGTTTTGCATGACTATTATCATTTGCTAAGCTGGCACAATGAAGAAAATATTACTCGTTGATATGACCTTCAGGGGTTTCTCAACGTTGATATTCTAAGCTTGATGGTCCGGTTTCTGTGACATTACTTTTTAAATTTGCAGGGAAAAAGTGTGGCACTATGGAGAACTTCAGAGACCATGTCGTCACGATGACTACAAAAATTATTCTTGCTTATTGAGCATGAATATATCAAGTGAGTTAATACATATTATTGTGCCTCTTCTCCGAAGCATTTCCCGCCAATTCGCAGCTACTGACATGGAAACAGAGACGAAAATATGAAGGATTCGAGATCCATGTCTTGATTAAGCTCTTGTACACGCTTCTGAACAACAATTTACTCATCTTAACGAAGATGCTTGTGAAACGTAGCATATTGTGACTAAATATTTCGAGCACTCATCCTATATTTCCCCCCTTAGTGCGCAAAATCAACAAATGTCAGAGACATCGAGGTTTTTGTGTGTGCCAACCGCGGAAAATATTGTGTGAGAAGAATTTAATGCAGAAGATCCAGGAACGTCTAACCAAGACACTTTGAAGGGGCCCTGCAAAACTTTTTGAGCATGGTCAGAAAACGCTGCCGATGGCTAGTAGAGGCTCCCGAAAACACGGGAGCCAAATATTACAGCGCAGCACCTGGCCTCGAATTCACAATAAACTATCAAAGTCAGCAAAAAAGTTGCTTTTTCTTCTCTCGGAAAATGACAGAAGACGCTGAAAAATCACACGTAGCAAGCTCATCTGTCAGCCATTGGTGGATTTGAACACGGCGCGCTCGGTCGTTAGAGATCGCCTTAGCAGGCTGCCACTTGTCCATGCGTGCGCACGCGCGATCACACTAAAAAAGCCGCGCATTCGAAGAACAAAAAAAAATTAAGTGCTCAAGGTCATGAGGCGTGCATGACGTAGCTTCGAGCGCTTTCGTCGGGACGAGAGAAGAGAGAGTGCAATTGCAGCATGCGACACATTTTTGAAACTTCACTCACACTAGACAAATTCCTAAAATTTTTGCGGCGTTGGATTCGTAAGGCAATAAGCTTTACAGTGAATTCCTTCATGGCTACTTGAAAAAGTGTTTCAGGGCCTCTTTAGGAGAAAACCAGCGGTGTCTTCAGTAGTTTTGCGCACTTATACTGCCACACATATAATGATTACTGCATCACTCGAGAAATTAGAGGTGGTAATATGGCAAATGGCCTAATTTGGTAGTCTACATTGACGTGCTTGCTGGCAACCAATACTCTAAATCAACACTCCAACATGGATCGAAGTGCTAAAAAAAATTACTACTCACGCCAGTAGTAATGCCAAGTCTCCAACTGCCATGAAATACGAAGTCCTTTTGATGACGGACTAAAAGAAATGATCCAAAAAAGACCTAATTAAATTAGGTAAAAAATTTTGCTGACATATTGGTTGGGAAAATGTAGGCATCGTACTTTCGTTTCGATATTTGCAAAAATGCAATAAAGGCAATGGCATGCCTTTTTGTTTCCAGTAAATGAACACACAGAATAAGGAAAACGCTGGTATCTGTCAGAACATATTTCTAACATTTAACTCGAAACTTACAATGTTTCGCGTAGTTCCTAGGCTACTATTCCATGTATTTCTATAAGAGTGCAGTCTGCGACCTTCTAACCCCCCCCCCCCCCCCCTCCTTTTGTACATAAGTGTCTGCCGGCGTAGTGAATGTACCCTAAAATGGTCCTTTGACCGCACTCAAGCATCCCTCTTTTACTTAAGAGTTGCATAAGCCGAAGTACGCAGAGACCAATGTGTTAATAAGGAGGAATGTGATGAGTGCAATAAATCTGCAAGTTTTTCACCCTAGAAAACAGAAGGGAAAAGACTGGCTATGCTGAACTGGGTCTTGCGGGGTCACATGGCCATCCTATCACTCATCACTAGCGTAGCAATATGCTGCCACTGTAAATAGCTGAAAGGACCTACGTGGCAGCAACCTGTCAAACCATTGTTGCCTGTTTTATCCAGCACGATGACGCCGTCACCAGAGTGACAAACAACGTTGTGCCCCACACGCCTTAACTCGAGAAAAAAAAGCGGAGCAATAAAGACGTGTCGAGATGAAAAACATTCACCTTTTTAATGCCGTAACACTTCTGTGTTCATAGCGTGCACAAAACAAGGCTGCCCAGCCTCCATTTGTACGTGCTGTGCACACGTTGGTGCTGTGCAGTGTAGCCTGTTGTAGGGTCATCACCCTACTTCAGGATATCTTCGGAATTTTTCGGGTAGCGATGCGTTGTAGGGTGGTATTGCAATCCTCCTAAGTGACGTAAGGCAATTTGTCTGTCTCGCTTGTTATCGATCAGCGAAAAATGTAGATGATCAATGCAACATCTTTGAAGGGGACATTTGTGAAGAAATCCTAAACTAAACATTTCATTTAAATAAACCAGAACTTTCATAATTCACATGTCACAAGCATTAGCCTGAGCAGTGCTATGAAGAAAGCTTGATATCAACTTTACTGAACAGTTTGATGCTTCTTTCTTCCAGCTTTTAATACTACTGGAAAAGGTAAGGCTTTCATTTTTTACTCGCTGGGAAGGAAATACACGTACACTATGTTCATACAGGACAAAATAAGTGCGCCACGTAAGCTTCACGCCAAAAAAGAAGACGAAAATGGCTGTGCACTATCAGTTGTCATAAATGGCTCAGTGGGAACAACGCGCCACTAAAAACACCAGGCCGGTGTGGTACGCGCAGCGCAGTCACAGTGACAGCTGGAATAGCGGCATTTCTTGTGAACTCTCTTTGGGTTTCCAAAAGAAGTACACTACGAAGGTATACCCGCCACGCCCCAAATCATAATTATTGTCGAGTCTAGAAGTACCCACTCCGTAATTGTTCTTCCTTGTAGGCAAAGCCGAGGTACCTGCGACACATTTGCGACAAGTTATGTGCACTGTGTTGATGTTATTTCTTTTTTAACTCTCCCGAAAGCGTTGATGCATAGGTGAACGTGCTGCAGTTTGTTCCTTCTTTACTTGTGTCGGCGTAGTTGAAATATGTTGAAGTAGCCTAACGCATAACGTGAACTCTGAATAGGATCTTTTCGCAAGTGAGTTTCAGGCACGTTCGTCGCTTTGTGGCAGAATACTCGAAAGCAACGCAGAGGATCTGGGTTCGAATCAGTTAAGCCGACGCCAATGGTGTTGCCGCTCTACTAAGAAACAACGGCCTAAAAGCTGCACTCTAAAACGAACATCTCTTAAAAAACGTTGCCTCCAGTGAGTGAAATAACTTTAACGAGGTCCACAATAGACGCGAGTTAACTCAGCGTTTCCTGGCTAGGCCCACTCGGGGACGGTCTGGTTAAACCAAAACGCCCTCGTGTGGGCGCTCTGGACGGCCAGAATCTGAGAGGTGACTTTTTTATCCGAACTTTGCCACACGTATATTTGGCACCACAATTATTGGTGCAACAGATATATCCGCCATGGCGGTACAGTGGTTAACATGCTGGGAAGCTGACCCAAAGAACACGGATTCCAATTAAGGCCACGGTGACCGAATTTTCGATGTCGGCGAAAATGCTAGGGGCTCATGGACTTGTATTCAGGGGCTTCTTCAAGAAGTTCAGCTGGTCAGAATTTCCGAAGCCCTACACTACGGCGTCTCTGAAAATCATGTCGTGGTTTGGGGTGGTTAAATTCATACAATTATTGTGGCGCCACACATGATGCAGAACAAAAAAATAGCAAAATATTAAGGAAGAAGTAATGTATCTTTGAAAATAAGCTGTACTTCACGTAGCTTTAGAAGAAGCGTTCAGTACGAGAAAGACAGAGGATATACCGTAATTGCTTTATCTTAAGTGTGAAGTATACTTTACAAAAAGGTCTACAAGCCTTTTTTTGAAAACCCTTCCTTTCCATAAAAAATGAAGCTTGTAAATATGAGTCATGTACAATAAATATCATGCACAATTAAATTTTGAATAATATTTGCTGCCACTACCGGGATGAATAACTTATAGAGTTTAAGCGAAATGTAATGGTTGACAATTATTTGTAGGTGAATTATTTACATATCACATAAGTTCTTTTCTGCCTAAATGAACAATAAGATGCGGCGCCAGTTCCACATTATGTCATGAAGAATCTCATCACACTGTCATAACATCATTTCGAAATAACACAAAAATAAGCATTCGAAATGCGAATAAGTTCTTACAGACACACCGTAAAACTTTAGATTTCTCTCTATAGGTCGATAATAACTTCTGCAGACAATGCAGCTAGGCGAAAAATATGTCAGTGTGCGAGTGACGACACATTTATAAAACGTATTCCCACCAGAGTGGGAAGGTATTATTTCTCCGTGCTCATTTTCTTGTATGACTTTCCTTGCTAGCCACAGCGTACTGTAAGTACCGCACATTAACGCACTTAGACTGTCTCGGCAACACGCAGTCACACTATTTGATTACAGCAACATTAGCCATCAAAGCAGAAAGAAATTATCACGGTTATTGTGCCAGAGGTTTGGAAGACGAAGTCCGAAAAAACGCGGTTCTCAGAGTGCCCGTTGAAATTTCCCATTTCGACATTATTGACATGCAAAGTACATTCGACATAATAATAATAATGTAGTGAATAAGAAAGACGTTGATACCATCAGGTCAGCTATCATCAGCACAAGAAGAAGGCACGAGATCGGCGATCAAGCACCGTCATCTGGGTTCGTCTGCGTTCCTTTAGAGCTACCACCCGCTTGCTCAGTCCTTCAATAAACCCCCTTTACATTTGGTGGATCGTGCTGGGTAACTGCATCACCTTCACCCTGGAACTCCGATCCCGCACGCTGCTGTCGACCATGCAAGTTGACGCTGCCCAACAGACAGCACCTCTCGCGGCTCCTACTTGCCCCGGCCCGGTTCACCAGCGAGACCCCCCGATCTTTTCGGGCGCCGAAGACCAGGACGTCGAGGACTGGCTGTCGTCCTACGAAAAAGTCAGTGGACCAAACAGGTGAGATGACGCTGCTAAGTTGAGCACCGTCAACTTTTACTTGGCTAATGTGGCGAAACTGTGGTATACAAACCACGAATCCGAGTTCGAGAACTGGGCCACTTTCAAGCAGGCAATATCCTCGGTTTTCGGTCGCCCTGCCGTGCGGAAGTTGCGCGCCGAACAACGCCTGCGCTCACGGGCACAAGAACCTGGCGAAAGGTTTACCGCCTACATCGAAGATATACTCGATCTCTGCAAGCGCGTCGATGCCGCAATGAGCGAAAGTGCCAAGATCCAGCACATTATGAAAGGTGTTGATGACGACGTCTTTCAAATGCTCCTGGCGAAGTCTTCTGGCACGGTGTCTGAAGTGGTAACTCTGTGCCAGAACTACGACGAATTGCGACGGCAACGAGCTCTCACCCGTCGTCCATTTCAGCCTAACCAACCACTCGCTGCACTGGACGTCGTACCTGACCACTCCCGCCTTCTAGCACAAATGAAAGACTTTGTGCGTGAGGAGGTCGCACGTCAGCTTTCCCTCCTGCCGTTTTGTCAGCGCCAAGAGCTCCCGCAGCAGCAGCAAGAGCAACCACCGACACCGTTAGCTCCCATGCTCCGACATGCACTTCAGGACCAGATTGCCGAGGCTATGCCAGTGCCCTTTCAGCAGCAAGTTGTCGCCGCACCTCTTACTTATGCTGACGCAGTAAAGAGGCAGCAGCCACACCAGCCCTCGCCGTTCAATGGACTGCCGCATGTCACCGCTCATACTCAGTCTTCCGTCGCATTGGGCTCCTCCCCTCGCTACCACAGCCTCGACTCAGCCGTATGCCGCGTGGGCGGCGCCCCTTGCTACAAATGCCTGGCGAACGCGCGATAACCGGCCGATTTGTTTTGCGTGCGGCGGACCTGGCCATATCTCCCGATACTGCCGTCGTCGCGTGCCCGCCTACACAGACGTCCGACCACGAAGCAATTACATGGACCGACCACCTTTTGGTTATGAAAGTTCGGATCGTCAGTCAAACACGTCTTCCCGTGACTATCCGGCAACTTCGTCTCGTCGCTCACCTTCACCCAATCGACGCTCCTTGTCACCCATGCGTCCACGACCAGCCCCTCAAAATGAGGGAAACTAGCCGTCACAGTTCAAGGGGCAAGAACTGCGCTATCGAAATGTTCAAGTCCTCGCACCTTGCCGTCAAATATCGTCGAAGTTTTTGTAGACGGCGCCCATGCATACGCTCTTGTGGATACCGGTGCCGCTGTGTCCGTTATGGACGCCAAACTTTGCCGCAAGCTCCGAAAGGTGACCACGCCGCTTGATATGTTCTTACGTGCAGCAAATAGAGAACCTGTTCGACCTATAACCGCCTGCACTGCCCGACTAAAAATTGCGGAGGACCACTACATTGTTGAGTTTATCATCCTTTCCTCGTGCTCTCATGCCGTCATCCTTGGCTGGGATTTCCTATCCCGTAATCGTGCCGTTATAGATTGTGCCCGTTCCGAACTTGAACTGCTTCCGTTCTTCGAGCAGCCCTACGACCACACTAATCAAGCCGCGCACAAGCTAGTTGTCCAAGAAGACACTGACATTCCACCGACAACAGCTGTTTTGCTCCCTGTGGTCTCCGACGGCATGCGTGATGAAGTAGCATTTTTCGAGCCATCACGCCTCTTTCTAAGTCGGAAACCACTTCTGCTCCCTTATTCAGCCCTCTCAATTTCTAATGGAGCCAGTGCTCTCTGTCTTACCAATCCCTTTCCGCATACCATCAAACTGTTTAAAGGCGAGTCTCTTGGATGCGTACAGCCCATTGATAACGGACAAATTTTTACCGTGCCGCAAGAATCATCCCAAAGTGACCTCACCGCCGTCAGTGCTCTTAACCACTCTCATCTACAGGCTTCAAAAGTGTTCGATTCGGCGATCGCAGACGGACTGTCACCATCTGAACGATCTGAACTCCTCCATCTGCTGTACCAGTACCGCGAATCTTTCGATGTTGTTCAACCTTCACTTGGCCGCACTTCTACCACTCTACATTACATCGATACCGGCTCCCATGCGCCACTACGACAGCGACCATATCGTGTTTCTGTGACGGAACGCCAAGTTATTACCGAACAGGTGAACGATATGCTGCAACGTGGTGTCATTCAACCTTCCCAAAGTCCATGGGCCTCACCTGTAGTGCTCGTTAAAAAAAAAGGATGGTTCCGTTCGCTTCTGCGTGGATTACCGGCGCCTAAATAAGATCACTCGAAGAGACGTGTATCCTTTACCCAGGATTGACGATGCCCTTGATACTTTACAAGGTGCCGAGTTTTTTTTATCATTAGATTTGCGCTCAGGGTACTGGCAGGTCCCCCTTGCCGATGCCGATCGACCAAAAACAGCCTTCGTGACACCGGACGGTCTGTATGAGTTTCATGTCATGCCCTTCGGCCTCTGCAATGCGCCTGCCACCTTCGAGCGCATGATGGACTCGGTTCTTCGGGGTTTGAAATGGCAAATCTGTCTCTGCTATCTCGACGATATAGTCGTCTTTGCGCCAGACTTTGGAACACATCTCGAACGCCTCAAACACGTCCTCACGTGCCTGAAGAATGCTCAGCTCCAACTTAACCTCAAGAAGTGTCACTTCGCTGCTCGCCAACTTACGATTCTCGGGCACGTCGTATCAAAGGACGGTATACTTCCAGACCCGGCTAAGTTACGTGCTGTCGCCGACTTCCCCAAACCAACGACTATGAAGCAGTTACGGAGCTTCGTGGGGTTATGCTCCTACTTTCGCCGGTTCGTGCGCAACTTCGCCTCTATCATTGCGCCTTTGACCGAACTTATAGGCAGCACCACTGATATTTCGGCATGGTCTTCTGAGTGTGACCAAGCCTTCTGTACCCTTCGTTGTCTCCTCACTTCGCCACCAATACTGCGTCACTACGATCCTACGGCAGCAACTGAGGTCCACACCGACGCCAGTGGTGTCGGCCTCGGTGCGGTTCTCGCGCAACGGAAGCCTGGATTCGCCGAGTATGTCGTCACCTACGCCAGCAGAACTCTTACCAAGGCTGAATCAAACTACAGCGTCACCGAGAAGGAATGCTTGGCGATCGTTTGGGCGCTTGTCAAGTTCCGCCCATACCTTTATGGCCGTGCTTTTGATGTAGTAACGGACCACCACGCATTATGCTGGTTATCGTCGCTTAAGGACCCATCAGGTCGTCTTGCCCGTTGGGCTCTCCGGCTTCAAGAATATGACATTCGCGGGGTATATCGTTCCGGCCACAAGCATGCCGATGCTGATGCACTGTCACGATGTCCCCTATCCCCGGACATCGCATCTATTTCCTCGGACAACACGTTGTCAGCGCTTGACGAGGACACCATCTCTTCTGCACAACGTAATGACCCATGGATCGCTTCGCTTCTTGACGCGTTATCCGAGGCACCGACACTTCCAACCACTCGAACCCTGCGCCGCCAGGCTCCGCACTTCAGTATTCGGGATGGCCTTTTGTACCGGCGCAACTATTCAGCAGATGGTAGGAAATGGCTACTAGTCATTCCCCGAACGCTGCGCTCTACCATCTGCGCGTCGTTTCATTCCGACCCGAAATGTGCTCACGCCGGTGTTTTCAAGACCTACGAGCGCCTACGAAAAAGGTATTACTGGCGCGGAATGTTTACCTTCGTCCGCCAGTTCATTCGCGGCTGCCACGAATGTCAGCGGCGGAAAAGCCCGCCACATCCTGCAACAGGTTCATTGCAGCCACTTCCATGCCCAGACCGCCCATTCGACCGTGTAGGAATTGACCTCTACGGACCACTACCATTAACAACGGCAGGCAACCAATGGGCTATCGTGGCAGTGGATCATCTAACACGGTACGCTGAAACTGCTGCTCTCCCCACAGCTGCAGCACAAGACGTCGCAACTTTCATACTCAATCGTTTTGTACTTCGTCATGGTCCTCCTCGAGAACTCCTCAGTGACCGAGGGCGTGTTTTCCTCTCCGATGTAATACAAGCACTTCTTCAACAGTGCCATATGGTTCACCGGAAGAGTACAGCCTACCACCCACAGACGAACGGCTTGACTGAGCGGTTTAATCGTACTCTGGGGGACATGCTCGCTACGCATGTCGCTTCTGATCAAACAAACTGGGACCTTGTTCTCCCATTTGTGACATACGCGTATAACACCGCTACGCAAGTCACTACAGGGTTTTCCCCATTTTTTCTCCTGTACGGTCGCGAACCATCACACACCATCGACACTTTACTCCCATACTCGCCAGATCCCTCCGAATACAAGCCTGTCTCGGAAGCCCCTCGTTACGCAGAAGAGTGCCGCAAGCTAGCCAAGCGGCTTACTACATCCGACCAACAGCGCCAGAAGGAGATCCGTGACGACGACCATCGTTCTGCACCAACGTTCGTTCCTGGAGCACTTGTATGGCTTCATGTACCGCCCTGCGCCACTGGTGTATCACCCAAGCTACTCTCCAATTATCATGGTCCCTACCGCGTGGTCGAGCGTACTTCACCCGTGAACTACGCCATTGAACCCCTCACGCCACCGAGCGACCGTCGTCGGCGTGGACGTGATATCGTTCACGTAAACCGTCTGAAGCCGTACTTTGACCCGCTTGTCCCCACGTGTTAGATCGCCAGGATGGCTTCAACTTTTTCGCCGGGGGTAATTGTAGTGAATAAGAAGACGTGATACCATCAGGTCAGCTATCATCAGCACAAGAAGAAGGCACGAGATCGGCGATCAAGCACCGTCATCTGGGTTCGCCTGCGTTCCTTTAGAGCTACCACTCGCTTGCTCAGTCCTTCAATAAACCCCCTTTACAATAATAATAATAATAATAATAATAATAATAATAATAATAATAATAATAATAATAATAATAATAATAATATAATAATAATAATAATAATAATAATACTTTCTTCTGGCACGCTTACCTGAAACTATGTTTCATGCAATTGAAATAAGGCAAGAAGAAACAGACATTATTGTTTTCTGGGTGGCCTACATCCCGGTTACTAAAAAAAATGAAGAGATCATTCGAAGACTACTTTAGAAAGTATTGCTGGGCTCCTTTATTAGCGTTCACAGAGCTTTCATAAAGTATATAATTTTCTCTTAAACCTAAATGTAAAGAGATGGTTTCGTACTTGTACAGAGTTAGGAAAGCATTGTTTTTAAATCTTAAACCAATTTTGCAAAATTTACTCAAGAAGGCACGTTGCATAGCTCCGCGAGTTTGATTAACGTTTTGTATGTTGGAAAACGTTTTTGTTTCAGTGGATGAACCGGAGAGAAAGGTGCTCATGTATTGGAATGAAACATCGGCTGTGGTGTATATATTGTTCTGGTAAACGAAAGTAAGCCTATAGCTTCATATTCTTACATAATTCGGCATGTATAGCCTACCGCTCATTGAAATTGGAAAGCACCGACTTTTGAAGTTCTATATTGTCACCAATCTTGTCTCACTCAAGGAAACCTTCCGCAGAACTGCTCGTCAAGCTAGGACAAAAAGAAAAAACTGCTCCAACCCAACCTCTTCGTCCTCTTCCACACGAAAACCACGCGAATTCATGCGGCATTAAAAAGCGGCTCAATCCCAACCTCTTCGTCCTCTTCCACACGAAAACCACGCGAATTCATGCGGCATTAGTCCCCCCCTTTTAAAAAGCATCGACTCGATGCTTCTAAATAAAAAGAAGAAGAAAAAAAAAACCCATAATTAGAACACGCGTTGACGCAGAGAATGACAAAGTGAGTGCCAGGGAAAACAAAGAGGGCGCACAAGCACTTGGACCATGCGCGAACACAACAGCACCAGTGGAAGAGTCAAGAAAAAAAAAAAACACCACATGAGATCACTGTCACGTTTGCGAAGTAACCTCGCAAGCACAGAGACTATGTGTGTAGTACGGCTTGAGTCGTACGACATGCACAGTTTCGGGCCGATGTTGTCGACGTGACGACACTGTGCCGTCCGGAAGTACTTCGTATGTAAGGTCACTCACACGTCGGATAACCTTGTATGGTCCGAAATAACGGCTCAGAAGCTTTTCAGACAAGCCTGGTCGTCGGACAGGAGTCCACACCCACACTCGTTCACCCGGGTGGTATGCGACGTTTCGACGGCGAAGGTTGTAACGTCGTGCATTCTGCGTCTTGTTGGTGACCGATGTTCACGCGAGCCAGTTGACGAGCCTCTTCGGCGTACTGCGTGTATTGCTCGGCTTCTGGAGAAAGAGCATCGCTATTATCGTACGGCAGCATAGCGTCAAGCATCGTTTGTACGTTGCGTCCATAAACAAGGTGGAAAGGTGAAAATCGGTGTGTTTCCTGCATTTGCCGTATTGTATGCGAACGTGACGTATGGGAGGATATCGTCCCAGGTTTTGTGCTGCACGTCCACGTACATTGACAGCATGTCCGCTATGGTCTTGTTGAGCCTTTCCGTCAGTCCATTACTTGTGGGTGGTAAGCCGTTGTTTTTCGGTGACTCGTGCAGCTCAGTCTGAAAATGTCCTCTAGCATTTGTGCCGTAAATGATGTTCCTCTATCCGTAATCACACATGACGGCGCGCCGTGCCGGAGGACGATGTGCTGCACGAAGAACTTCGCCACTTCAGACGCCGTGCCGCGGGGTAATGCCTTTGTCTCAGCATACCGGGTCAAGTAATCGGTTGCCACTATAATCCATTTGTTACCAGTGGCCGACAAAGGGAAGGGTCCTAGAAGGTCCATTCCCACGAGGTCGAAAGGTGTCCGTGGTGGTGTAATAGGGTGGAGAAGGCCCGCAGGTTTCACGGGTGGCGTCTTGCGACGCTGGCACTCGCGGCAGCCTTGCACGTAGCGGTGTACACTGGTCGAAAGTCGTGGCCAATAGTACTGCTGGCGCACTCTGGCGAGAGTCCGCGAGTAGCCCAAGTGTCCCGACGTGGGCTCGTCATGGCACGCGAGGAGGATGTCATCTCGCATGTCGGCTGGTACAACGAGGAGGAAGGCTTTGTTGCTACCTCGAGCATTTTTCTTGTAAAGAATGCCCCTCCTTAGACAAAAGGATGACAATTCGCGAGCGATGCGCCGAGGAGTGTGAGAATTTCGGCCTTCTAAGGAATCAATAATAGGGCGCAATTCCTGATCGGCTCTCTGTCTAGACATAAAGTCAGAATCACTGAGGGCTCCGAGAAAACCATCAGCATATTCCGAGTCCATATCAGGATGTCCCACGGGTGCTCGAGAAAGTGCCGTCGGCATCTTCGTGCTTGCGCCCAGACCTATACACAATCATGATGTCAAACTCTTGCAAGCGCAAACTCCACCGAGCGAGACGACCAGACGGGTCACGGAGATTGGCCAGCCAACACAGCGAATGGTGATCGGTCACCACCTTGAAGGGACGGCCGTAGAGGTAAGGTCGAAACTTTGCCGTTGCCCACACGACTGCGAGGCATTCCTTCTCTGAAGTGGAGTAGTTGGCCTCGGCTCGAGAGAGAGTACGACTGGCGTAAGCTATGACATGTTCTACGCCGTTGTGCCGTTGTACAAGGACAGCGCCAAGTCCGACGTTGCTTGCATCCGTGTGAACTTCGGTATCAGCGTCCTCATCAAAATGCGCAAGAACAGGTGCCTCTTGCATTCGCTGCCGTAACTCTGTGAAAGCTGCTTCTTGCTCTGTAGTCCAGGCAAACGGTACATCATCTCGGGTGAGTCGCGTGAGCGGTTCGGCTATCGTCGAGAAGTTGGTAATGAATCGGCGATAATAAGCACACAAGCCGAGAAAACGCCGTACCGCTTTTTTGTCTGACGGCACAGGAAAGGTGGCGACTGCTGCAGTTTTTTCTGGGTCAGGCCGCACTCCATCCGCACTCACAACATGTCCCAGAAATTTCAGCTCATCGTAGCCGAAATGGCACTTCTGGGGTTTTAGCGTGAGTTCGGCCGAACGAATAGCTTCCAGAACCATTCTTAGACGCTTCAGATGTTCTTCGAAACTCTCGGCAAAGATGACCACATCATCAAGGTATACAAGGCAGCTTTGCCACTTCAAGCCAGCGAGGACGGTATCCATCATTCGCTGGAATGTTGCGGGAGCCGAACAGAGGCCGAAAGGAAGAACTCTGAATTCATAAAGCCCATCGGGAGTTACAAACGCTGTCTTCTCTCTGTCTCGCTCATCGACCTCTATCTGCCAATAGCCGCTCTTCAAATCTATCGATGAAAAATACTTCGCGTGTCGTAGCCTGTCGAGAGAATCATCAACCCGTGGAAGCGGGTAGACGTCTTTTTTGGTGACGCTATTGAGTTTCCTGTAGTCAACACAGAATCGCAGCGTTCCGTCTTTCTTCTTTACTAGAACGACTGGCGAGGACCACGGGCTGCTCGACGGTTGTATCACCCCGTCGTCAAGCATCTCCTTTACCTGCGTCTGTATAGTCTCGCGTTCTTTAGCCGAAACACGGTAAGGTTGCTGGCGGATTGGGCGAACATCATCGTCGGTAATAATTCGGTGCTTTATGAGGGGTGTTTGACCGACTCTAGATGAAGAGGCGAAGCAAGATTTAAATTCCTTCAGCAGGGTATGCAGTGCGGCCTTCTTCTCGTCCGAAAGCTTCGAACTGACGTCGATGTGGTCCAGAAACTTATCTCCATCAACCATTTCCTCGGATGCGAAGCACTCGGTGACATCCGCTACACGGTCTCCGAAGGCCACGGTGGTGCCGCGGAAAAGATGTCGGTGCTCGAAGTTAAAATTTGTGACGAGTATCTGCGACCGTCCGTCACGCACACGCAGAATGCTTCGCACTGCACACACACCTTGAAGCAGTAAAAGGGATACGTTGCTCTCGGCGACCACGTCACCGTCTTGGAGGTCTTCACAGGTGACTTCTACGAAAGCAGTCGCTCGGGGAGGCAACGTCACGCTTTCGTCGGCAACACGCAGCGCAGGTCTACGACAGCTATCAGCGCCTCGATCGGTTGCAAGTTGCGTCGAGAAAGTCACCATTCGCTCGCGGAGATTTATGATCGCGCCATTCTCTCGAAGGAAGTCCATTCCAAGGATGAGCTGACGAGAACAGTCGCGTAGTACGAGGCAGGTTACCACAAACGTTGACTCGCGTATTTCCACTCTTGCGGTACAGCGACCCAATGGAGTAATAACGTGGCCTCCAGCAGTGCGAATACGCGTCCCATTCCAAGGTGTCATCACTTTCTTAAGACTGGTTGCCAATTTTCCGCTCATAATAGAATAATCTGCACCTGTGTCCACCAATGCGCTGACCTGAAGACCGTCTATCAGCACGGGAATGTCGAGTGAGACTCGGCCACTGGGTTCAGACGCACAATCCGGCATTTCTCTCGCACTGCACTCAGACGTCAATTCAATGTCTGCAGCGTTTTGTGGAAGCGTCGATAGGAGGTCTTCCGCACTTTTAGTCCCAGCGACCTCGCCCCCGAAGGTCGCTGCCTTCAGTTTTCCCGACGAGGGCTTGGGGAACGTCCCCGTGCCATCGTACTGAGACGTGGTCCAATAGCTGCGGGTCGTCGTGGAGATGGAGACCGCGATTGACGCCGTGGGAAAGGCAGACGTTGCTGCGCGAGGTAGTCCTCAATTTCTCTTGGCCTCTGACCAACTAGGGGACGAGGCGAATGAATAGAGAAACCGCGCAGTCCAAGTTGTCGGTATGGACATTCCCGGTAGATGTGACCGGCTTCACCGCAATGGAAGCAGAGGGGTCTTCTATCCGACGTACGCCAAATATCGGACTTCCGCGGAGGGGCACGGCGACCGTCGATGTCCAAACCAGCATGCGCAGATTGAATTGAAACTGGCGGCATCGTCTGGATTGGGACTGCAGGGCTTGAGACCGGCATGGAAGTGCGCAGAGCTTCGGCATATGTGCGGTTCCCAACATCAGTGGACGCAGGAGGTGGTTCTAGATTTGTAACCGTTGGTTGAGGGCGACGGCTGTGAAGCACCTGCTGGACCTCGTCCCGAATAATATTGGTGATGCTGCTTACCTCCGGCTGTCTCGCCCCGTGTAGTTTCGCGATTTCCTCGCGGACGACGGAGCGGACGATTTCGCGAATCCACTCAATGCTGTTGCTCCCGAAGCTGGCGGAAAATTCAGTAGGTGATGCAGAATTCACTTGCCGGTTGAGTAGGGCTGACCGCTGATGAAGTACCCTCTCCATCGTAGTGGCTTCGGTCAGGAATTCTGCTACACTCTTCGGAGGACTCCGCACTAGACCAGCAAAAAGCTGCTCCTTCACGCCTCGCATCAGATAGCGTAGCTTTTTTTCTTCTGGCATTGCCGGATCCGCTCGCCTGAAAAGCTGCGTCATGTCCTCCACGTACATGGTGACGGTCTCATTAGGCATCTGGATGCGTGAATGCAATGCACGTTCAGCACGATCGCGGCGGTCGGGGCTCCGGTAGGTCTCCAAGAGGCGATGCTGGAACTCGCGCCAGGATGTCAAGACATCACTTCTGTTCATGAACCACGTTCGGGCGCCGTCTTTCAAACACGCGTAGACGTTGCGGAGTTTGGCGGCTTCGTCCCAGTAGTTGATCGCTGCGACGTGTTCGAACTCGCTCAGCCAGTCGTCCACATCCTCAAACAGCTCTCCGTGAAAGGGACTAGGCATCAGCGGGTTCTGGACAGTGCAATAAATTGGTGCCGACGACGTAGGAGTTTCCATGACGCCTTGAGGCGAAGTCATAGTCGCTCTATGGATAAGCTGTGCCGGTGTCTCTGGTGGTAGGCCTCGTTGGCGGCGGCTTGTTCTGTGAACTGGCGTGTCCACGGGCACAGGGCTTGTGTTCCGGCTCCTGGATGGGCTCTTGTGCATGGGGTGCGTCGTCAGTTGTCGTACCCAGCACCTCCACCAATCTTGTCACCAATCTTGTCTCACTCAAGGAAACCTTCCGCAGAACTGCTCGTCAAGCTAGGACAAAAAGAAAAAACTGCTCCAACCCAACCTCTTCGTCCTCTTCCACACGAAAACCACGCGAATTCATGCGGCATTAAAAAGCGGCTCAATCCCAACCTCTTCGTCCTCTTCCACACGAAAACCACGCGAATTCATGCGGCATTATAATTCCCACGTAGTGTTTCTTCACTTGTTCTCCATTTTCTTACTGTAATGCACAAGCCGATAGTTATGTGGCAAGCTAAGTTAACTAGTACTTTGAAAAAGCGCAACAAAATGTCTCAGAACTTACACACGTTTCACATGCTTGTAACTAAACATGTTTTTGCAGCTATCATTTTTAAAATAGAGGTACAAGATGTCGAAGTTATTGTTGACATGATTTATCGGAACTGAGGCCTTTGTAAGTGAAGTTTCGGCATAAAATGTCTGTCTATACGAGTATAAAACTAAGGATACTAGTCACAACCACATTACACTGCTTTACTCCCGTTCAGCAGTCTGCTCTTCTCAGAGAGGAAAAATTCCTATTCAACATTAGATAAGAAGGGGCATAGAGTGTGGAATCCTGTTTTCTAAAACGGTTTCATGATGTAATGGATACTCATTTGCCCCTAAGACAGGTGAAGCTGAATAAAAGATGTCCATGCAAATGGCGCCCGCAAAAGCCAAAACAACTTTACTTCTCGGAAAGTCATGCAACGTGTGTTTAGTCATAATTTCCATGCTCGGGAAATAAAGTAAAAACAACGTCGGTCGGAATAGTCAACCACTACTAGATGATCAGCGCAATGCTAGTCTATTCTTAAAAATTGTAGGGATACAATGCATTGTTCCTTCTTCCGGCAATACCGCGTAGTGCAGCAGATTGGACTTGAACGAATCAACTTGCACTTAATGATAACCCTATTAGTAGTAATAAAAGCAAAACTATATATGTTGAAGTGGTGATTCTATTTATTTCCATAACACTCATTTGTAAGGCGTATATCTTGCCATGAGTACACTTGTATGTACTGCGCGCGTGAATTCTGCAACGGTGTTGCCTTCTTTGTAATATGTACATGTTTCCTTCTGTGGGTGACCAAGCTCTTACAAGCGTTAATCAACTCGGCTCCACTCCTTCTCAACTTGACAGGCGCACTGCAGAGATGTGCTTCTCTAAGCGGCAAGATAATTGCTATATTTGGAATTGATTGCGTTTTACCTGTAGCGAAAACTACACCTACAAGTGCGTGAGCCATGCAGGATTGCTTCGTGGTGTTTTTTAACTAGATAGGAAACTAAATATTTGAAACATTGAAAAGGCGTAAACTATATTAGTATTACGTGTTGCTGGTCTACGTGGTTTTATAAACTGACTCCCTAGGTAAACCGAAGTGAACGACTCTGCGGAACGACTCATAGCAGAAGGTAGTGCGTTAGTTGAAGTGACCCATATGGGGTAGCCCGTATACTAACTTCCAACAAATAGGTAGAGATGGGCATTCCAAGTGTAGTACTGAAGAATACCGTTGTTCTCTTATATGGAACGCTTACAAAATAGGAGTTAAAACGAGAAAACACCTTCTATAAGTTAAAGTATGTAGGCATTGCGAGGATGATAAAATGGCTATATATATATATATATATATATATATATATATATATATATATATATATATATATATATAAGGGAAAGAAGTGTATATCTAAGGGCTCGCTTTTCCGTGTTTTAACACAATATTAATGAGATCTAACAGACAGTAATGCCAAGGAATGTATAGGGGAAGTTATTAGAACCAATGGAATGTAAATAGGAAGAAAGAAAAGTGGATGAAAAAATAACCAGCCGTGAGCAGGAATCGAACCTACGACCTTCGAATAACGCGTTCGATGCTCTAACCACTGAGCTACCACAGCGGCCTTCCCCCCATCCACTTTTTTGGGTCTATATGTGAATTTAGAAGTAGGAGTGACAGTCAGCGCCATCTATAAGCCAAACCACGAGTGTGAAAACACTCTTATGCGCATGTTTGGCGTCACGTAGCACGTGAACTTTATTATGAGCGGGCAGCTGATTAATTGTTCCTCTTATACAACCTAAACACACCAAGTCTGCCAGTACGAGACCCTCGTTCAATGAAACAAGGGAAAGAAGTGTATAACTAAGGGCTCGTTTTTCCGTGTTTTAACACAATATTAATGAGATCTAACAGACAGTAATATAATATATATATATATATATATATATATATGTGTGTATATATATATATATATATATATATATATATATATATATATATATATATTTATACATATATATATATATATAATATATATATATATATATATATATATATATATATATATATATATATATATATATATATATATATATATATATATATATATATATATATATATGAAGCTACGCAGTAGGTAGCTGCAAAACGGATTGGTTGGAGATGATACCAATCGTAATCTCAGTAAGCAACCACGGTTCTAACTGAACCCCATTGAGAGTAGCATCTTGGCTTAGGTTTGTTGATTATGAGCAAATTAACATTGTCTTCTAATTCGTTGATTGACAGCAAAAGCGGGATGCGAGCTTCACTCACGTGACGGAGCACACGAGAAAGCGAAAATTACCGGTAATCTTCAGACTTGTCACTCCGAGTTTCGTAAACACTGCCAAGAATACTCTCGAGGCAACGACTACATGACGAGATGTAATATGCAAGCGGGACTGTAACCAAAGAATCATCCTCGACAAGCTTCTCTTTGCAAACTTTTTGTTTTCAAGCAAGAAACAAGCTCTGGTGTACATGACAAGAGCAAGTAAAGGACAAGAGTAAATCCCAGTTTGCTTTATGTATGACAAATAAAATCTTGTTTGTTGGAATGTCCTCGCTTTTGTGTTTTGTCAAATAGACTAGGAAGTACAACACGAAGGAGATAAAGAAAAAGATTTGAAACCGAAATTGGCGACTCATATAGCTGGTTTCACGTGCAACGCAGACATTCGTTTGAATAGCAATACAGTTTTTATCATGATCAGTATAGCACAGCCGACTAGGGTTGGCGTTGGAGGCTAACTTGTGCCAAATAAGACATTGCGACCCAGTCTGGACACAAGAAAGGTGGAAGGAAGCAAATAGGAAGGGAGATGACAGGGAGCTGAACCAGAAAAACTGCCGGTTGGCTGTCTTATACTGGAGTGTTAGGGAAAGAGACAACAAAGATTAAATTTAGAGAGAAGGAAAGGAAAGAAAAACAAAAAGGTCAGCTTGAGTCAAAAATTTCAGGTTTGGGCCATGACTATTTTTTGGCGTCTCTGAGCTTCACTTTGGCGCATTCATTAACCATTCTTCTTGTTATTTTCAAACACATGGCAAACGTAACAACGCTTTGGTTTCAAAGATTGTTTGATGTGTCGGCCGGTGCATTCGGATGTCCTCACTGACATTGACTGAGAGACACTGAGACACCTAAACTCACTGAGCTGGCACGTGAGCCGAGACAGAGTGACGAAGCACTTCTTCCTTCACTGAATGTCATTCATTTTGGAGGGTGTGACATTCATTCGGCGGTTTCAAAACTTTCAGTAACAACAACAAAAAACTATATTAAAAAAAGTGGGAAGCTGTACAATTACAAGAGAATCAGCAAATTTAAGTGCGTTTCTGGCTAAGATCATACTGAAAACGTTGCGTACCTTGCAAGGCTTAGTTTTCGTGCAGCAAACAACATCTGCCATCTCTCAGAAATGTGTAGCAGTAAGTTAAGACATCCCTAAAAGGAACTCGCGCAGATGACGACCACATCACTCGTTGAATCGTTTAAGTGCCATTCGTTCGTGGGCCTTTTGATTACTGCTAAAATGTGCGACTTCTTTATTAGGATTTACGTCGTAGTGAATACTTTCAGGTGTACTTGCAAAAGTGTTCCCAGAGAGTTGAGAACAGGCTCTAGCATTGGCCCTCTTGCAGCTTTGCAGTCCAATGTGCCACACTATCAGAGCAGGCTTGCAGTTTATTATTAAAAAAACTGTGCTACAGTGACTGCGAAATACGACGTTAGGCAGGAGACACAAAACTAAGTAGAGAGTACTAGCGAAATCACCGTAGTTTTTCAATCATGAAAAACCACCTAGGCCTATGCCTCACTTTGCTCTGGAGTTTTTTGTTGTGCACAATATTTATGAGAACAAACTGTCAGTAATGGAACAGAAATTTCAGTCATTATTATTTGCAGCGTTTACAATACAAAAGTGTATCGAGTAAAGCAGAAGTAAACATTATTTGCTGGTTAGAGGCCCGAGCCACAATGAGGCTTCGTTTGTTCCACAAAAGAGTAAACAGATTCTTACGATGACACACAGTGAATGTTTATAGAGGACTGCTCAGTGAATTCCTAACTTGTGACATCATCGAAGCCAGGAACATCTTCTGCTAGGATGACATGTGTGTTAGTGCGCTAAAATATCAAATGATGAACAACGTAAGACATTCTTTTTTGAATGTACTGTGCTTCGCCGCAAGGCAGTTTTAAAAAGGTCTTGTTTGCACTGCCCTGGTATTTTGAAACATCATAAATTGTGATTAAAAAAAATATACAGTCTTTTTATAGAAGTAAACATCACTGACCTTTCTTATAACTAACAAACAAATGAGATATGGGCTCCCCATTGAGGATATATCGCAGAAAAGGTTCATTTATTTTAAAAGCGGGTGCCTTTTCTTTCTTCTCTGCGTTGTAATTTCTTTGTATTCAGGAGCAATGTAAAATGATCAATCTTAATCAGGAGGTTTAGTAAAGGTCAAATATAGAACAGAAACCGTAACCGTAGAACGAGATCTGAAAGCTTACGTGGCTGTTTTGACAAACGGATTAGGATAGTGAAAGGAAATTTTGACGACATGTTAGCGCACTTCCTCCACTTTACGACATTTACTCCTCAATCCATAAAAGGGCGAGTTTAGTATACTTCTGCTGTGTATGAGGGTGGACGTTTTTAGTATTATGCTCTGTCTAATACTTGCACTTTTTATAGTTACGTTTCCAGATGCACAAGCAGCTACGTTTGAGGATCTTATTGCGGTAAGTAAAAAGTCGTTCCAGTACTTTCAATTAGGTGTTTGCCACCTCAACGGGGTACCATCCAAAGCAAGACATTCTAGAGCTCTTTGATTGCACAATACAGTAGCACACATTAAACTGGGCGGTTTAGCTTGCTTGATCCTATCCTAAGATATATATATATATATATATATATATATATATATATATATATATATATATATATATATATATATATATATATATATATATATATATATTGTGGCGAAGCCTTCGAACAGTGGGTCGTCCTCTTCAGCGCCTTCTAGTGGGTTGCCCTTTTTAGCAAAAAGAAGAGCAGCTCGTGCAGAGAGTCGGTACCCGCATTGACTGTCGCTGTCAAGCATCGTCGACAAGTGTCCGCCAATAAACGTCTCAACAATTTGGTGGAGAGTGCTGTGCCCTTCTAACACCTTCGGTTAGCATTTGATGCCCCTGGAGCTTCGATCCCGCACCGTGCCTTCTACCATGCACCAAGACGCCGCACAGCAAACGCTTCCCCCTGCGCCGACGCCATGTTCCGGTGTCCCCCGCATCCGCGACCCTCCTGTCTCCACCGGCGCGGATGGCACCGACGTCGAGGACTGGCTTGCTATGTACGAACGCGTCAGCGTCCCCAATGATTGGGACGAGGCAGGTAAACTCGGCAACCTGGTTTTCTACCTCGCGGGTGTGGCCGGCATGTGGTACAACAACCACGCATCCGATTTCCCCACTTGGTCCGCTTTTAAAACCACCGTCGTCGACGTGTTCGGCCGTCCTGCCGTTCGTAAGCTCCAAGCCGAACAGCGGTTACGTGAACGAGCACAGCAGATCGGTGAGTCCTTCACAAGTTACATAGAGGACATCCTTGACTTGTGCAAGACAGTGGACGCGAGCATGTCAGAGGCCGACAGAATTACCCATGTTTTAAAAGGCATCGCCGACGATGCCTTCACCATGCTCCTGGCCAAGAACCCTCGCACTGTGGCAGAGATCATTACACTTTGCCAAAGTTACGAGGAGCTGCGACGGCAGCGTTCGATGACCCGTCGACCACCCTCACGTGACGCTGATCTCTCGGCCTTGTCAACACTTCCTGACCACACCGCCTTGCTTGCTGAAATCAAGTCATTCTTGCGTGAGGAAGTTGCCCGCCAGGTCTCTTTACTGGGCTTTGCTTCCCCGCAACGTGCTGAACAGTCGTCAAGCACACTTCTGCCTCCCCTCCGCCGAGCCATTCAGCAGGAAATCGCGGAGGTCGTTCCAGAATATCACCAGCCGCCTCCAGTATCTACACCACTCAGTTACGCCCAAGTTGTCGCCAGGCCACCCCCACCGATTCCTGTGACTGGCCCCCTTGGTTACACCGAAACCATCGCCACACCCCAGGCCTTCGGAGAAACTGTGCCTCCTACATATACCGACGTCATCCACTTGCCCCGTGTGCCGCCCCTATGCAGTTATATCAGCAGCCGGCTCGTCCATCGCGTTCTTCGACATGGATGGGACCCGCGAACCGATGGTGCACTGCGGACAATTGCCCCATCTGCATTGCTTGTGGTTGCGTCGGTCACGTAGCACGCTACTGCAATCGTGTGCAGCGACCGCAGGTCGCCTCCAATTTTCCCAGCCAATCGAGCCGCTTTTATGACCAACCGCCACCTACGTCACCGTCGTCCCGCCCCGCTCCATCTACCCGCCGTTCACATTCTCCGCGACGTCGCTCACTGTCGCCGATGCGGCCACGTCCACTAGAGGGTGACCAGTAAAACTAGTCGTCGCAGTCCACGAGGCAAGGGCTGCGACGCTGTCGAACTGCGGAAGCCCTCAGCAAAGACCATCGAACGTCATAGACGTGCTTGTGGATGGTGTTCGTGCATCTGCCCTTGTAGATACTGGAGCCACCGTATCCGTCATGGACGCAAAGCTTAGCCGATTACTGCGCAAAGTGACCACGCCACTTTACGGGCTCTCCCTCCGTACAGCCAGCGCCCAAAGCATTCACCCTACAGCGATGTGTACAGCCCGCCTCATGATTCAGGACGTGATGTATGCCGTCGAATTCATCATAATTCCTTCATGCTCTCACGACGTCATCCTAGGATGGGATTTTCTCTCCCGCCACGACGCCGTCATTCATTGCGCACCAGCAGAAATAGAGCTGACACCATTCTCTTCTTTGACGCCGGCCGACAGTTCATCTGCTGCAAGCAAGTTACTCGTCAGGGACGACACGCAAGTGCCTGCAAATTCGTCCGCGGCGGTGTCGGTCTACTGCGCAAGTCTTTCCGACACCGCTGCACTCCTCTCACCATCTCATCGTGTTTTCACCAGAAAAGGTTTGCTGGTTCGTTTCGCGACCGTGCAAGTAACTCGTGGCAGCACCACCATTTTTGTTCTGAACTCATCCCCGTACAGTGTTACGTTGGTGCGAGGGGAATGTCTCGGCAGCGTGGAACCCATCGAAGACGCACAAGTCATGGATCAACCTGATGACACGCACTGCCGAAGCTCCAATACGCTTATTGCTGTTTCTACATCTGTTTCATCATCCGCTGATATATTCGGTCCTTCCATTGCCGACAACCTTACGCCGGTGCAGCGCTCCCAGCTTCTGGCCCTGTTGGAAGAATTCCGCTCTTCTTTCGATGTCGCTCAACCTTCTCTCGGCCGCACATCCGCTGTTACGCATCGCATTGACACAGGCGCACAACCACCACTACGGCAACGTCCATATCGCGTATCTCCCACAGAACGCCGTGTAATCAACGAGCAAGTGGACGACATGCTACGCCGCGATGTTA